CCCACCCCCCACCCCCCCCACAATGCTTTACACGGCAAAAGCAAGGCGCCAATATCGTGCTTTTCGAGTTGTATATTCTCACAGCAGGGCGAAACGAGGGGCAATCCAGCGGCGACCTCCAGAAGAATGCCCCCCTCCACCTCGACTTGAGGGCATAGAGTGAAGGCTGGGCGCGGAGCGGGGAGGAGGGGGGGAAGGGGAAGAGGCAAAGTTGCCCGAATGCATGTGCATCTGGAAAAAAAAGGACAGACGCTTGTTATAAGAAAGCAACAACAAGCACCCTCCCATTTTGCCACGCGCATCCCCGCATCGGGCCATATCTTTGCCCTCCCCTCTCTCCTCCCCCTGGCCGCTCGCCGCTCGCCTCCTCCTCGTCCCTCAAAATCGGGGCGCGAAGGGTCAAACATCACGGGGCTCATACACACACAAGGAGGCGGGGACGGATGTTCCGGCTTTGCATGGAGACGCGCACATACACACGCATGTGCGTGGCCTCTCCCGCCGCCCGCGAGACACCCAGCCGACACCTGCCCGCTCGCGCGCAGCACACACAGGAGAAGTCGCGCTTGGTGGAGCTTACTTCTTCTCCATGGCCGCGATCATGTCGATCAGCGGGCGGACCGGGCGACCGGTCATCCCGGCAACATGGTAGCCGGCGGTCTTGCCCGAGTGCATGACACCAGCAATGTCGAAGTGAGCCCAGGGCATGTCCTCATCGACGAAAGCCTCCAGGAAGGCGGCCGCAGTGCAGGACCCAGCCGACCGGGTGGCGGTGGAGTTGATCAGATCCGCCACCGAGGCCTTGACCGCCTCGCGGTAGTCGTCCAGAATGGGCATACGCCACAGGAGATCCTGCGTAGCACGGCCATGCTTGTCGATGCGCTGCCACAGGTCGTCATTCTTGCAGAAGACACCGGTGCAGCCGAACCCGAGGGCCACATCCATGGCACCGGTCAGGGTGGCGAAGTTCATGATCATCGACGGCTTGAAGGTCTTGGCGTAGTCCAGGGCGTCGCAAAGGATCAGGCGACCCTCGGCATCGGTGTTGTCCACCTCGATGGTGGTGCCACTGCGAGCGACCACCACATCACCGGGCTTGGTGGCACGACCGCTGGGCATGTTCTCGCACAGGGGGATCAGACCCACGACGTGGGTCTTGACGCCGAGCTGCGCCAGGCCGGCGATGGTCGACAGGACCACCGACGCGCCACCCATGTCGCCCTTCATCATGCCCATGCCGGAGGACGGCTTGATGGAGATACCACCCGAGTCGAAGGTGACACCCTTGCCGACCAGGACAACCGGGCCCTCGGGGCGCTCGGCGGTCTTGTACTCGACCTCCACAAAGGCCGGAGGCTGGTCGGTGCCTGTGGATGAAGATGCAGGTACACGCGTGCGTGCGTGCGCGCGCGCGCGCGCGCGGGGGGAGGGGAGGGGGCAACACCATTGACAGGAGCCCGGGAAAGGGAGCAGCCAGCCAACAATCGCGGAGCAGGAGGCCAGGAGGGAGTCAGGATGGGTGTGGAGTTCAGTGGAGGCCCAGGACCTTTGGGGCCCGGGATTGGGGCGGGGCTTTTTTTTTTTTTGGGTGTGTGCCTTGCTTTTTCTGGGCAACTGGGCAGCCGGCATCCGAAAAAGCTGATGACACACGTACCGTTGGTCACCGACAGGAAGGAGCCCATCTTCTGCTCCTCGATCCACTTGCGGTCACGCACAGTCACCTTGAGCCCGTCGGCAGTCAGCAGGCGCTGGGCCTCCTGGCCGAAGATGGTGGGGGTCATGTCATTGGCCGGGATGTTCATCAGGTCGCGGGCCATGTTCTGGTAGCGCGCGTAGATGGTGCCACGCTCGAAGGAGGAGGCACACTCCTGGTTGAGGGAGCCCTCATAGAGCAGACCAATGGCCTCGACCTCCTTCTTCTTGTCGGCATCCTCGGGCTTCTGGGACTTGTAGTGGTCGAACTTGTAAAGACCCAGGGCGGCACCCTCGGCCAGGGGCTGGAAGTCGGCCGAGCCACGGACGGAGCCGAACACCACATGGTCGGCACCGCTGTCACGGAGGCTCCGCGCCGCGAGGGCAGACTGAAGCACCGGCAGATGGACCACGGCCAGCCGGGCGGCGCGGCAGCGAGCCAAAGTGGCAGGACAGAAGCATCATGGGATCCGGATCCGAGGGGGGGGGGGGGGGGGGGGGGAGCAAAGGGCTGCCGCAGGATCAAGGGGGCAAAAGGCCAAGCTGGGAGAAGGAACACGCACGGCCTTGCGCAGGGAGTCGCAGGACTTCTGGGCCTCGGTGGTGCCGCAGGCCGCCTCGGGGAAGGGCTTGCCCAGACCGACGACCGCCACGCGGGGCAGGGTCTTGTCCAGACCATAGAGGATGCTCACATGGTTGGCCTTGCCAGTGTGACCGGTGGCCTCGAGCTGGGACTTGAAGGCGCCGTTGGTGAACTTGTCGATGGACTCGAGCAGGTTGCTGTTCGGAAAGACCCGCACACACGGCAAGGGGGAGGAGGAGGAGGGACGCAAGGGGATGGTCAGAGAGGCAGAGAGAGAGAGAGAGAGAGAGGCAGAGAGAGAGAGAGAGAGAGGG